ACTCTTTTATCTATGTTTCCTGTTTCCTTTAAGATTTGCCTTGAATCGGTTTTAAAATTGCGTGCACCTTCGGTAGGACAACATTATTTAAACAAGCATGGAACGTCGTTTGACAAAATCCGACATTTCCTTCCAAATTTTCTAAAATTAGAGTCAAATCGCTGTTGGGCGCGATAAAATAAGAAATGGCATCGTTAGATTTGTGAACCTCTCGTGTTGCAAGGCCGCTAAACTTGCGTAGTTTTGCAGTTAAAATGAGCTTATCAGCAAATCCGCCTTTCGACCCCTACCTGCCCGAAAATAATAGCTTCTCTCAATTTTAAGCGAACATATCTTAACTCGTATGGAAGGAACACTATATTTGATATTGTGCTAATTAGGAGAGGTATTCTCAGAGTGTGCACATCTTTGCTAGTAAAAGAATTTCCTCATCGGTACCAAGACGAAATTGCGAAATTCTGGGGTCTGCAAAGTTTTCTTTTAACATTCATGAAGATCCTATCTCGGATGGAAAAAAAGCAGTCGCCTCCTTCAGTGTATCGCTAAGTTTTATAGGTATCGTTCTTGCACTGGAGTTTCAACTTCTTTCCTATTATGTGGAAATATGGTTACTGAAAAATTGACAGCTGGAATCTCATGTTGCTAAAGTTATTTTATCAATTCTTTCAATGCTGACGTTATCAAAACACAATCATCTTCGCGAATATTGTGGCACATTCGCAACGATGCTTAGTTCCAATGATGCTGAGATATTTGCAAAATTCCGAATCGCAGCTTTTTGCGGTGGGAAATGAACGGGCTATTACCTTTTCCAGAGGATAGGGCGTTCACTATCACACCATGCAGGTCGTTCGCTTCGCCTGTCTCTTAGCTAATTCTATCGATCAGTGCCATCAGCAGTCACCCGTCAACGCTATTGATTTAGGGAGCCCAAACGGCAATGAGCTCAATTAAGCTGAGGCTGTAGTGAAAATCACAATGCTGACTTTTCTTTGCTGCCTTTTATAGAGAATTCACCAAACAGATAGAGTATTCTCTATCTACATAACTAATACAGTCAGTGGATCGGTGGAGACGCCGCGCGCTTCTTCTGCGTCCATATCCCGTTCTAGCCATGAGGCACACCGCTCGCTTAGACGTAGCTTCGCCACTAGCACAGTCATTTGGCCCAACTACTTAACTAATACAGTCAGGTATCGATGGAGACCGCGTAACTGCATCGCCGAGCGCGTTCTCTGCGTCCATATCCCGTTCTGGCTATAGGGCCCACTGCTCGCTTGGACGTAGCCACGCCCAATAGCACCGTCGTTTGACCCGACGACGGCGTGGAGATCGCCGGCGCCGGCTCCATTATTAATTTCCTCTCGTTCGATCCCACCTTGCGAATTTATTTGCTTAGGTCTCAATGATAGTTCGTGTAATTCTTAGCCCCCATAAGTTAAACACTTTCATTGCTCACAGGTACCTCACAAACGGTTCATCGCTTTTGCGCACTCTCGCGAACGCTTTTTATATCCTTGCGTTGTGAGCCGTTGCATTGGTGTGTGTACTATTGTATTGTATTTTATTAGGTAACAAACCCACTGAATTCGCATTTTCGCAGTTTGTAAAACAGACATTGTGGATCGTATTGCGTTGTTTACAAATAACATGTGTATACTAATAAAGGTTTAATTACCCAAGTTTGGGCTACCTTACAAACGATTCATCGCACTTGCGAGCTCTCGAAAACGCTTTTTACATTTTGCGTTGTGAGCTGTTACACCTATTACAAAGTTGTCAAAAGTGTAGTGCAGTGATCATCTTTTCCACATGAAAGTATTTTCGATAGACATTTAAAAAATTTGCATGCATGTGAAGCTAATAAGAGCTTCAACAGTTAACCAATACATTGGTGACAACAACCTTTTATTTGAGAATATACGTAAGGATACTCCGGGCGACATGAGTCGGCGTCATTCTTGTTTCCTTTAGCGCGCAGACTTTCAGCAGCATGTTTCCTAACTGGCATGCAGCCTTCCTATTGCAGATGTGACAGACGACGTAAGATAAACGGTGCTAACTGCATATAAAAGTTGTTAAGAAGTCGGCCTAAGCTAGGAGACCTCGTGTCTGCTTATTGAAGAAAAACGTCGAATTATCAATCAATGCCGAGGTTAAAAGAAAGTCGGGCTTGGAAATTGCTACGTGAAATTTAATGCTACATAAATGTTGCTTATGGCCTTAAGGCGATATGACAGAATTTTTTTCGTAAGTATGTGAAGTTATCAACTCTACTAGTACTCTATTAAGGAAGCAATTGTCGTTTATGGTTGAGAAACCTCCTTAATAGCGATTGCGTTGTTTTAGAAAGGCTAAGTAATTTTTCACCGATTTAATTCTGTGAATTAAGGCGCAGATATTTTCTCTGGATCAAGTTAACTGCATACTCGAATGGACACATCATCGGCTCCTGAGATGCCAGGTGTTGTACATCTATGTTATTTTCTATTTCCTACCGTTGTATTGCAGGGAAGGAAACGTTAACGGTTCGTCGAACCATTCGAGGATAAAGAAAAATCCCTTCAACTGAAGAGGGAGAAGGATTGGAGTGAAGGCGAGTACGAAGAGTGCTGTGAAGCTAAGCTTCAGTGACATATGGAGTAGCTATTTAAACAAAATGATCCGATACTGCTATGTTTTGACTGACATCGATATTTGGGAAAAAATTGAAGTGAAGCAGTTCTATTTGGAAGTTGGATAAGTATAATTAGTTGCTTTGCCCACTACAAAAATAGATGGGTTTGAAACATTGTGGCTCTGCTCATTGATTTTTTCTCGGGTATACAAATTCATTAGTGTCTGTAAATGCGAGCTACGCTGCTTTGCCGTGAAAATATGTTCCTTATGCCTCCTCGTTATTGTTCTAGGAGTTTAAGTGTTTTCGAGGTGCGGTGTCGAAAAATTCCAGGTCCACAAGGACTACTTAGCCTGATAAGCCTAGAGTATGGCTCAAGAACACCAACACCAACACCACTATCTACCTTGAGTGCAGAAACCTGCAGCTATGGAGGCTGCGCATACAGTCCACCGTCTCCTGAGTAGGATTTTCATATCTTTCATTTCCACTATCATTTCTTATTGTTTTCTTGCTCTCCACTTTGTCTTTATTACTTAAATCCACTCCTGAATCACCCCTAATATGGCCTAACCTGTCTCTTAGGTATCCTCAATCTACTTAAAATATTTTCTTGACAAACCAGTGACACGTTTCCACTGTGGGGCACAATTTCCACCATCAATACTTCGCTCGCTCGCTCGTCTTTCCTATATTTCCTGCCTGCTTCTTCTTGTAGTTGTAAATTTGGCTATTCTTTGTGGTAAAACAATAGGGAGGCTTTTATTATCTTCTGACCCTCGATTTTTTTATAGCAGTTTTCAACTGCCTTTTGTTGACATAACTGCTGCAATTTTTTCTTATTGTTTCATCTTCTTAATAATCATATTCAAACCTGTGGTTTTACAGATGAAGGAATTTTGGTTTAGCAGTCAATGAGAACTTAAAAAAGCAAATCAAGAGTCAGAACTCTTATATTCAAACCTTCTGTAGCAGATACTTCATGGTTTTCGGTGGTTGACACGCAGAGTTTAGAGCACGATAGTTAACTGTTTATGTATTTGTTGCAGTACTACGCGACCTTAGATCACAAATTTAGATTTCTTACTTTAATGCGACTTTAAATCTGACAGTTCTTATAATAGGTAAAGGAGGTGAGCTTTTCAACAGGCTGGTTCCGGCGAAGACTACCCATTTTGCTGAGATATTTGCAAAACTCTGGACCGCAGGTGTCTATGGTGGGGAACGAACGCGCTATTATCCTTTCCGGGGAGTAACGCGTTCACCACCACACCATGTGGGTCCTTTGTTTCGCACGCAGAGTTTTGCAAATATCTCAGCAACGTTGTGGTTGTATTTCGCTTAGTAACCTGCCATGAAAATTATAGAAGGCAGAAAACAAAACGTTAAACATTGTGATTTCAACTACAGCCATAGCTTAACTGGGTTCTATGTCGATTTGCGCTCCCCAGATCAACCCCGCTGACGGGTGATTGCTGTGGCAAAAAGATAGAAATAGCTGAGAGACGTGCGAAACAAAGGACCCGCATGGTGTGGTGGTGAACGCGTTACTCCCCGGAAAGGATAATAGCGCGTTCGTTCCCCACCATAGACACCTGCGGTCCAGAGTTTTGCAAATATCTCAGCAACGTTGTGGTTGTATTTCGCTTAGTAACCTGCCATGAAAATTATAGAAGGCAGAAAACAAAACGTTAAACACTACCCACTTTTTCAAACGGCAGTGATTTTAATGTGCAATGTGGTGCCAGTCTCGGGAATACAGGCGTTATGTTCTAGGAACGGCTCCAGAACTACTTTTAGTTGCTGAAAATAGGCGTTTTGCTACCATTTATACTGATTTGAGCCCAACAAACCGATACTGGCAGCAGTTGGACCAATTATGCAGTGCAATATTACGTGGATGACACTCTCAACTCGCACAATTTTTATGCTAGTGCGCGGAATTCCGCTGACCAGAGGATCCTGCCTAATGCCTTCTCCTACTTGTATGAATACTACAGGTTCGTTTTTCTTTGTTTTCGTTGTCTCACATTAGTGATCATTTTTTGAACATGGGTTCTCATAAGCTTAATATATTAATATTAAGCTTATCGAACTCGAAAGTTGAAAAGAAATGATGCAAAATGCTTCACTTGACAGTGTTCTCTGAGGTTTGGTGTGTCTACCAACTAATTCGGACTATTTTTGGATCATACTTGACATTTCGTTAAATCGTATACACCTTAGCCCGTAGACGACAGAAAAGTGTCAGTCAATCGGTCAGGAAAGCGCAATGTTGAAGTGAATGTCTAAAAATCTGAAGGATTACTGTTTTCATAACGGTTTTCACTTTAATGTAAGCCAAATTTTGTTTGCGTTATGCTTTTTTTAATACTGCAGGTCTATGGGACTCGACGATTATGTGGCGTTCGTCCAGGTGCAAATTGTGGAAAATGCTGTACTGAGTGGAACAGCTGGATCACTGATTCCGTCAGTGCCGACCGCTGCATCGCAGACCACGATTTCGAACGCAAATAATCTGAATCCTCCTGGAGGTTCAGATTAGCTCAGGTGTTCTGCCTGTACATGTCCCCAAGCGCAAGTCACGACAGCCACAATCACTGATTTCTTCTTCCTTCCTTCAGCATTTCGTTGTTTCGTTCTTAAGAATAATTTTTCATCTAAGTGTTTTTTTTGTGTTCCGGAGTTTCTCGATGTTTTTTTAAGTGTTGTTACTTACTTTTTTTGTTGTACTGCTTGTATTACTAAGTAAATAATGATTCTTACCACTTGTGTAGCATTAAGTAGAAGAGTGGGATTCCAGTATGCAATATCTACCAGATTTTTTATCTCTTAGATGAGTCTCTTCAACACACGCAGACACATATACACACACAGGCACATACACTTTTTCATCATATGAAAAAAATTCTTTCTAAGTGTGTTGAGCAGTTCGTGTAGAATTTGCTTCTCTCCTTTTGGCCTGCCACGCTGGAATTTTTGTAGAGGCCGCAGGTCGTAATTTGAGAAATTAGTGATTCAACCGCTCAAAACAATAGTAATACAGCAATGTGTGACTTTTTTGTTTTTTTTTGTTATCTTATTTTTTTATTTGATCCGTCTTCATGTCTGCCGTGCGGATCCCAGCACTTCTAACATCCAATTCGCTTCCTTGCACACATCGCACATGAAGGTCTTTCAAGTTTTTACGTGTGTCTTCGGTTGCTGCTTGAGGATCTTCATTTCAACTTGAATGTCATAGAATGGTGGTCGAACAGTTCTTTCTGAAGTCCTGAGGTAGCCGGGTTGGAGCGTTCCCAGTTGGATTGCAGAGAGTGGTTTTCTCCAAACAAGTACGGTACCAATATCAAGGTTTTTTATTTGGTGCCTATTTTCATGGCAGAGTGTTATGTGAAATACAAGCACAATTATGCTAAGATGTTTACAAAACATCCAAGCTAGGCCAGATTCGAACCCGCGGCTACTCTTTCCATGGTCACACATGTTACCCACCACACCACTTAGGCACTCGTTCTGAATGACTTTCAGCCACTGTTATTTAGCAATACTTTCATGGTTACTTGGATGGTTTCTCTTTACTGGGTGTGAGACCTCAGCGCAATTTCCTTTCGTTTCTCACAAAATTGTCGTCCATGATGGTAAGTTGTTTATCCTTTATTCATCCCAGTTGAGTGACTTCATTATCTACTATGCTTACTTACTTTGTCAGTTAGATGGTCCCTTCACCGGTTGTGTGGATCCTGGCATAATTTCAATTTTTATCAAAATTTTGCTGGTCTAGCTATTGTGGTTTTTTGGAGTCCAGAGGTAATTTTAGCCAAAGTCTTCGCCAGGTTGTCACCACCACAGGCAGCCGCGGCCTTTGTGGATCAGAGGGAGATTTTCCAGCATGCAACTAGTTTGATACCAGAACGGTGGTGGATCTCTGATATTGGTTAACTTTTAGCGGGGCTTCCTTATGGAAACGACGAACTTCTCATCTTGGGAGACCCTTCCGGGAAGGTAAGTCTCCTCACTGTACATCGCAGCACGACACTCAAGAACACCTCGCAGCCGCGATGAGGCTGTTAACCTGTGAGAGGATTATCCACTATAGGCTGCAACAAACAGCTTTGGCGATATTTTTCGTTCTATCAAACCTTTTTTGCCATGGTTATGGTAAATGCTACATGAAAATCTACATATTTATCAGATAACAGTATGCTTGTTTTGATCATAGGATGGGTTCAGTACTTGGTTAAAAGGCACTGATACGACCACTTTCGATTTGACGCTATAGAACGCGCTATCGTACTCGATTACTTCGTAAAGATCGTAAAGATTGCTTTAAAGGACAGATGGTATTCGCAATTGGCTTCTATGACCCGTGACACTGTTTGGATGCGGCCCATAAAGCAAAGACCCTGTTAGAGTCCTGCTTGCCCAAATGCTTGTGTGTCGTCCAAGGTTTTTGATGCGCGCAAAGCGATAATCTTTGTGAACATATTGTAGATTATATTCAGTATGCTTTTTGGGAGTTGGTCACGACTATCGCTTCAGATTCCCTTCTTAGGTAGGATATCCGTGCGCAGGGTCCTCCAAGTCTGGAATTTTCTCTTTCTACAAATAAGATGTGGGGTGCGAGAAGTGCGTGTAGTTTCTGGTCACTAGCTGTTGTAAGAAATTGGTGTTGGTAATATCGAGTCAAGAGCGCGTGTGGAGCAGTAGTTGAAAGCACTACTGCGGCACACACGTGGAATCGATCCTCGCGCCCATGGCCCACCAAGCCTTCCATCCTTCTGGGGTCGGCAAATTGGTACCAGACTTGTCTGAGAGGATAGCAGCACTGGTTCGATACATCAGAAAAGATTTGTATAGAATCTTTCCCTTATCTATTCCACATCATAGGGGAATGCAGCGCTAGTCCCATATTCGTTCATCAGTGCGTATAATGGGATGCTATAGTCGCAGCTATTCCGACAGCACTTCTTCAAGCTTGATCATTTTTAAGCTGATCCAACCACCTTTTTCTGCATTTGCTGATGTAAATCGTTGTGTAAAAATTCGTAGCTGACATTTATTATCAATCTTTTTAAGTGTGTTGCAATCAATCAATCCTCAATGTCCTTCTCTTTTCTAGCAACACTTTAATGTAATGGAGACGCGACCTGAACTTCTTGTGTATAGAACTGAGGGGAGTTCGGCACCAGGTTCTAAGCCTTTCTACAATCTGCGTTTAGCACTCGGTCAGGTCTTCATTTTTTTGCTATTCATATAAGGAGAGGATTTTATTGAGAATATTTCCGTCATACACGACTTGTTTCGTTTTTCTTGGACTGTGACAGTTGTCTTTTACCCCATGGCTGAATCGAATGTTCGCACGGAGAAGGCNCAGCACTGGTTCGATACATCAGAAAAGATTTGTATAGAATCTTTCCCTTATCTATTCCACATCATAGGGGAATGCAGCGCTAGTCCCATATTCGTTCATCAGTGCGTATAATGGGATGCTATAGTCGCAGCTATTCCGACAGCACTTCTTCAAGCTTGATCATTTTTAAGCTGATCCAACCACCTTTTTCTGCATTTGCTGATGTAAATCGTTGTGTAAAAATTCGTAGCTGACATTTATTATCAATCTTTTTAAGTGTGTTGCAATCAATCAATCCTCAATGTCCTTCTCTTTTCTAGCAACACTTTAATGTAATGGAGACGCGACCTGAACTTCTTGTGTATAGAACTGAGGGGAGTTCGGCACCAGGTTCTAAGCCTTTCTACAATCTGCGTTTAGCACTCGGTCAGGTCTTCATTTTTTTGCTATTCATATAAGGAGAGGATTTTATTGAGAATATTTCCGTCATACACGACTTGTTTCGTTTTTCTTGGACTGTGACAGTTGTCTTTTACCCCATGGCTGAATCGAATGTTCGCACGGAGAAGGCAGTGACAGGTCCAGTACAGAGTTGAGGTACCACTGAGGTGTCAGAGAGGTACCATTTTCTGTTCTTCACATATGATCGATGTCTCAATGAGTCGAGCCGTTAGGGAACTCCTTTGTGCATCGGCGAATTTTTCTTTTCTCGAAAATGAATTCCCATAGAAGAAACATTCCGTCGGCATGAGTTATACAGGACTGCTTTCATTCTCATTTCGTTCTACTATTCCGAATTTCCCTACCCTGTATTTATTTTTGCTGGCCGTTCGTGATTTGGCGTTGAATTCTCCAACAACGATTTTATAAAGGAAGTTGTTGTTGTAGATTACCTCTTCCAGCTGGTGGTAAAAGGTGTCCAGTTTGCTCGTATAAGCTATACAAGTGGACTAGTAACAGTTGATGATGCTGACTCTGTTTTGACGCGCAATTTGGAAACGAAGAATGGCCAAGCGTGGTGACGGGATTTCGTATGAAGTGAGTAGATGAGGAGTAGATGAGTATGCGACAAGGCCAACGCCTCCAACATCTGGTATGGAAATTTTCGTCCACGAATATCATCGGTTCCGCCATCTAATCGGCGTATGCCTGTCTTCGTAGATTTCGTCTCTTGTAGAGCGATCACACAGGAATTGATGCGGTCAACAGCCTGAAGATGAACGTAAATATCGGTAATTTACTTCGTAAAAATTACTTGATCAATGCCGAGGTTAATAGAAAGTCGGTCGTGGCAGTAAATATCGGTGTTTGAAGAGGCTGTTCGTGATTCACGATAAACAATCTGCATGGCGTGTAGTGGCCGTCCCCGTTTTGCCCATTTCCAATGACGTCTCACACAGCTAAAGATTTGATCACCTCTTACCGGTTTTTTTTCGCCCAACGTCGTAGACGGGAGCTCGCAGTGTGAGCACAGTTATTTGCTGGTTTACTCCACCGTGGTTTTCTGGAGTCACGAGGTTAGCCAGCCAAGGTGTCGCCCAGGTCGTTTCCACTCCAGACATTCGCTGCCCTTGTGAATCAGAGGGAGATTTGCCACCATGCGATTAGTTTGATACCAGGACGGTAGTGATTATTGATATTCGTTACTGTTAGCTGAACATTCGGATAAAAACGGCGAACGCCTTTTCAGGATGGGGGGCCCTGCTAGTGATATAAACTACTTTCTGTGCATCGCAGTCCGATACCCAAGAACATTTCACCAGCCTCGATGAAGTGGTAGGAAGTTGGAAGGCAATAATGACATGCTATTATTGAAAAAAAAAAACAGGCGAAGATGTGTTAAGACGTTTAATAAGTGAAGGTGAGATAATGTGTTTGAGGATGCTTCGAAGTGTGAGAGAAGTTTTTCATGGCCTGGTGGAGTAATGTGATCTGCATGTGTGTTGGAGTATAGTAGTAACCGTTGATTAGATTAGTATATTAGGGACACATGCTAGCTTGTAATAAAATTGCAGTGAGGGTAGCGCATTAGGTGTATGTTTAAGTCTGTGATAACGTCAACTTATATTGATAACGTCAATATAGTGATAACGTCAACTTATATCAACTCAATGGGGTTGATATGTTGAAAGGTACGAGTAGAATGTGGTCAACGAATAGTAGTGAGAACATGCAGGTAGAATTAACAATTAGGATTTTCTAGGTGGAGTAAAGCAGGCAGATGTGCTTATTGTTAGGATGGTAAACGAAACAGATATTGTAAATATCGCGACTAGTACGCAAGCGAAGAGCATGACGCTGTCCATGATTGGACGGGTTGAACAAGGTTGCAGGAGCGAGTCACCAGGCGATGTTGTCGTGGAGTGTGACGTTCCTGGCAGTTATGGAGAGCTAACAATGTAGAGCAAGCACACAGGCTTTGGTTCACGTAGTTTGTAGTGCAAATGTTTACATGATAGCAGTGAATAATGTTGAGAGAAGGCGCTTACTATAAACACAAGACTGACAACAAAATATAGGATATTGTTTAAAGAACAGAGAGTGGCCTCTATACTGTAAAATCGGTTTGGAACACGGTGTTCGCGAAGTTTAGGCAGCAGTTCCTCAATGGACACTGTCGAAAATTTGCTACTTACAGTTTGTTCGATGGCGAGCATTTCCACAAAACTAGAAGAGCTTTAGGTTTTTTAACCATATCGTAACTTTATGTTGGAGAGAATTCGCTTGCGTGGTTCTCTTTCATTAGCGAGGCAGCATCACAAAGCAAAGTAGTACAATACGAAGCATTACAGAAGGAAATGCAGTACTTCTTCGCATCTGCCGTAATTGTAATGCTTTATGGTGACGAGATTAGCATTTGGTGTTTGGGTTTGTGTTTATGTTTATCCAGTATTCCAGATGTTTAGTAAGGGTTTATACCTATTTGCAGCTTAGCTATTGCACTTTCCAAATCCTCTCTTTACCAACCAATCGCGCCTCATACGCATTCTTTTACAGTGGTGTATATTGCTATACAGAGGTTTTTCACCCCACTTTTTACACTACAACGTTCAAGAACACTTATTTGCAACCAAAACTTGCCAATTTGTACGCACATGCAACTAGCAACTGCTACGTTTAACTAAGTCTTCACATGGAACTTTCAGTTAACACCGATAATCGATAATAATCTTCGCTCAGAACTTCGTACTAGAGATGTATGATTTGCCTGCTAAGCACTGAAACATTGAACTGTACAACGTACCACAACTGCACGAGTAAAAGCCTCGCATGGCGAACTAAGGAAATCGAGCATTCCAACCACTCGAAAGACCGACTTTCTATAAACCTCGGCGTAGAAAGTTGTTATATTTATTTATGTGATCATATAAACTGATCTTCTTAAGCCGACGCGAGGTCGGTACAGAACTTCGTTGTCGTTGTCGTTGTTTTTGATGTTATTGATCGATGGCGAAGTCGCCGAAACGTCAGCCATCAATCAATAACATCAAAAACAACGGCAACGACAACGAAGATCTGTACCAACCTCGCGTCAGCTTAAGAAGATCAGTTTATAAGATCACATAAATAAATATATTCTAACCACTGT